TGAGATCACTAACTCATACGTGTTATAAGGTAGAAGGTGTGAGTACGAGAGGCAGGGCTGGTGGAGTGTGGTGAGATCACTAACTCATACGTGTTATAAGGTAGAAGGTGTGAGTACGGGAGGCAGGGCTGGTAGAGTGTGGTGAGATCAGTAACTCATACGTGTTATAAGGTAGAAGGTGTGAGTATGGGAGGCAGGGCTGGTGGAGTGTGGTGAGATAGGAGGGAGGCCTCCCTGGAAGAAGTAGCAGTGATAGCAGCATTTGATGGGGCTAGGTAGGGAGCTGCAGGGGAGAATACAGAACTTTCTAAAGAGATTTACCATGTGGGTGAGGGGCTGGGGTCTGTGCTTTTGTCCTGATAGTTTGGTTCTAAGGAAGTTGTCTGAAGTTCTTTTTTGCCTCTCTGATCTAAATGTAATTCTCCTTCAGGAACCTGGTGTTTGGGGATGAGGTTAGTTATAACCTGTTTTGGATTGGGGGTCTTTTGGAAAATGTGACTGTGAAATCTGTCAAGTTGTTGTTAAATGCTGTGAGATGGTTCCAAGTCATAGTGACCCTGTATACGGTTTCTAAGGAGGGTCTGGTGGGTTTGAACTGCTGACCTTGCAGTTAATAGTCCAGTGATTATCCTGTAGTGCCACACAGGACAGAAAGCTATAGGACATTTAAATTAAGCATCAGTAAATTTGACTACATAGTTTGAAAAGCTGTGGGCTCTCTGGTGTTGGTGTTGTTGTGTGCGTGGAGTCGGTTCCAACTCATAGCAACCCTGTACAGGGTTTCTGAGGTTGTAAATCTTTACAGGAGCAGAAAGCCTCATCTTTCTCCTGCGGAACAGCTGGTAGTTTCGAACTGCTGACCCTGAGGTTCGCAGCCTGATTTGTAACCACTACGCTAGTTGATAACTGAGATTTGAAAGTTAATCAGACTCGAATCTAAATCCCAGTCCTGCCATTAACGAGCTGTAGAACCTGAGGCAAGTGACTTGCCTTTCAGATCCTGTTTGTGGAGGTTTTGTGCCATTGAGTCTATTTTGATTCTGACTCATAGTGGCCCCCTTAAGCAGGTGAGGACAGATAAGTAGATGCTTTCTCCCTCGGAGCAGCTGGTAGTTTCAAACTGCCCACCTTTGGTTAGTATCCAGGCACTTAACCATTGCACCAGGGCTCCTTTTACCCACCTGCAAAGTGGAAACCCTGGTGTGATCTTGGTGTGAGCCAAGGTCAGCAGTTCAAACCCACCAGCCACTCTCAGAAACCACAGAAATAGGGTCACTATGAATTGAAACCGACTGGACGGCACACAGAAACAACGAAGTGGGAATAATGTTGCCACCTCTGGAGGTGACTGGAAGGAGCCCTGGCAGCGTAGTAGAGTACAAACGGGACTGCTAACTGCAGATCAGTAGTTCAAACCTACCAGTTGCTCCAAGGGAGAAAGATGAGGCTTTCTGCTTCCATAAAGATTTACAACCTGGGAAACCCTTTACAGCAGGGGTGGGGAAGCTTTTTTCTGCCAAAATTTATAACATCATTCATGGGCCATACAAAATTATCAATTTAAAAATTACTCAGCTATATGTGATCAAACATGTAATTAACTAGCCCCTACCGTGATGACTGGGAGTTCTGGTGTGGCGCTGTGGGCTAATGCGTCGTCAGACGGCAAAGTTGTTTGAACTGCAAGGTCAGTGGTTCAAGTTCACCAGCTGCTTCTTGGAAACCCTATACAGGGTTGCTATGGGTAAGAATTGACTCAACAGCACTTAACAACAACAACTGTGATGGCTGGAACTGCAGTTGCGTTGGCAGGGCCAGACCAAATGATTTTGCGGGACTTCAGAGTCAGAACCGACTCAAGATGGCACTTAACAAAATACGGCCCGTGAGCCAGATGTTCCCCACCCCTGCTTCACAGGGTTGCTGTGAATTGGCACTGACCTGGTGGCACACCAGCAGAAGCACTACCAGAGCAGTGACCCTGTATAAGGTTTCTGAGGAGTGTCTGGTGGGGACTACTGAAGAGGCTCTATAGATACAGAGCACCTGCACACAATGGTGACCACAGCCCCACACTAGGACAAATGGGATTCTATATAATTTTGTAATATATGTTTCACTGATACAAAGTAGGTGATGATGATGAAAATTATTGTATATAAGTACTTGATAAGTACCATCAAGTTGGCTCCAATCCATAGTGACCCTGTATAGTGTTTCTAAAGGAGCGGCTGGTGAGCTTGAACCACTGACAGTAGTGTTCTAACTGACTTTGTAGTCCAGCGCATTAGCCCACAATGCCCGGCTGTCGAGTTGGTTCTGACTTATGTTGTTGTTGTTATGTGCCGCGGAGTCAGTTCTGACTCATAGCGACCCTGTACAGGGTTTCTGAGGCTGTAAATCTTATAGTGGCTCTGTATAGGGTTTCTAATGAGTAGCTAGTGGGTTTGAACCGCCAACCTTGCGATTTGCCGTCCTGTACTTACCCTACAGTACCACACCAAGAGTCCTTACTATAGCATATAAATACATACATGTATGTTTCATGTATCGAACGTATCATATTTCATTATAAGTTCTGCATTAGGTGTTAAACTGTACTCTCAATGAGCCCTCTTCTCACAATACCTTTAAATGCATATGGTAAATGTGACACCAAAACCTGTTTGTCGAGTTGATTCTGACTCCCAGTGACCCTGCAGGACACAGAGCTGTCTCACAGGGTTTTCAAGGCTGTCATCTCTACAGAAGCAGATGGCCACATCTTTCTCTGAGCAGCTGGTAGGTTTGAACCAACCACTGGTGTTGTGGGTAGCAACTCAACTAAAACAGTGGTTAAACAACCACTGTACACCAGGGCTTCTTCATGAAATTAACTGAATTACAAAAATGTATTAAAATACAATGATCAAACTACTAAAATGACAGCAGTTTGCACTTCTTTGTTAATGCATTAAATAATGTTGAGCAAAGTAGCACTTACCCTATGTGAGTTTTTTTGAGGACCATCGATGCTATGATATTTTGAGATCTAATATTACTATATTTATATTGCCCACATCCATAATCAAAACATGCGTTAGTTCTTGTTCAGTGCCGTCGAATTCATAGCTACATGGCAGATGAGTAGCATTTCCGAGGCCGTAAAGCTTTTTGGGAGCAGAAAGCGCCTCATCTTTCTCCCGTAGAGTGACTGGTAGGTTGTGACTGACCTTGTGGTTTGCAGTCCAGAGTCACTGTACTCACTTGAATTAGAGGTTAGTGAAAGTAAACACATCACTTTTGGCCCCCATCTCAGTCCATAGACCTCCTGGATTCTATCCACGGACTCTCGTTTAAGGCCCCCATCCTTTGTTTTGTTGTTAAGTGCCGTTGAGTTGATTCTGACCCATAGCACCCTGTATAGGGTTTCCAAGGAGCAGCTGGTGAGCTTGAACCACTGACTTTGCAGTTCAAACGACTTGGCAGTCTGATGCATTCCCCCACAGCACCACACCAGGAGAGCATCGTCTCTCTTGTTATGAAATGCCTTTTCAATTTGGTTCGGGCTCATAGCTATTCTATATAGATAGGGTTTCCAAGGAGTGGCTGGTGAGCTTGAACTGCTGACCTTGTGGTTCAAAGTGACCTTGCAGTCCAGCACATTAACCCCCAGCGCCACAGCAGACTCCTTAGTCATCTAGTCCTGCTTTAATAACAGTACCACAGGGGATGGCTTTCTCGCTGGCGATTCTGCAGGGGGAAAGTCCTCGCCTGTCAAGTTTTATTTCCTGGTTCCATGGAAACATGTGGGTTGGCATCGATCTTCCTTCTCCCCACTCCGCTCCCCAGGGCTCTGGAAGAAGATCTCGTCTCTTCTGAGCTTTTCTGCTCCTGAGCAGTTCTTCCTGTGGCTTGGCATGTCCCTTTCCATCTCTGTTTCTTTGCTTGCCTGTGAGAACTGAGATACACGCTACACTAATCCTGCCTCATGGACATACAACAATGACACCCCATTCCCACATGGGATTATAACTACAAACATAGAGGTTAGCAATTACAGTCAGCAACTTGGGAGTCACACTCAGTCTGTAACAGTGACCTTGGACAAAGTCTCATTATCCTCACCTGTAAAATGGGCATGGCAGTGCCTTCCTTGTGGGTGGTGGTCTGTGTGACGTGAGAAGCTAGAGAAAGGAGCTGGCATGCAGTAGACCTCGATAAATGGGAGCGTTGACGATGCCCAGGTTCCTGTGCGGAGCCTGCCCTAGGGGAGGAGGGGAGCATTGCCCCAGGAGTCTCCCTTCCCCACCCCAGCAGCCCTTGTCTTTCTTGCTTTTAGGTGATGACAGAGGGTAGCCACAGCAAGGGGTTTGGCTTTGTGTGTTTTTCCTCTCCAGAGGAGGCGACAAAGGCCGTGACCGAGATGAACGGGCGCATCGTCGGCACCAAGCCGCTGTACGTGGCGCTGGCCCAGCGCAAAGAGGAGCGGAGGGCTATCTTGTCCAACCAGTACATGCAGCGCCTCTCTACCATGCGGGCCCTTGGCAACCCTCTCCCGGGCTCCTTCCAGCAGCCCACCAACTACTTCGTGCCCACCGGGCCCCAGGTCTGCCTGCCCACAACTCTTGCCACGTCCCCTCCCTGCAGCCAAGTAGAACAGGAAGACCATGGTTTCCCGGCTTGTTTCTGCCAGTTACTCCCTAGGCTCCGTAACTTCCTGAGTCTTAGTTTTTCCTTCTATAAAACAAGGGGAAAACAGCAGTTCTCAATCAGAGCAGCTTGTGAAATGTTAACACTCGCAAAGGATTCTTTATGATCAAATAGAAGTCTTGGTGTGGTGCTGTGGGTTAATGTGCTGGACTGCAAAGTTGGTTTGAAATGCAAGGTTGCCGGTTGAAGCTCACCAGCTGCACCTTGGAAATGCTACACAGGGTTGCTATGGGTCGGAACCAACTCGACGTCACTTAACAACAACATGATCAAATAGGAGCCCTGGTGGCACTGTAGGATAAGCACTGAACCACTAGCCACGAGGTTGGCAGTTCAAACATACCAGCCACTCCAACAGAAAAAGATGTGGCTCTCTGCTCTTATGAAGATATACAACTTCAGGAACCCTATATAGGGTCGCTCTGAGTCAGAACCAACTTGAGGGAACCTAATATCAACAGTGGTTAAATAGAGGACAGTGGGGGGTGGTTCACTGGTAGAATTCTGACTTTCCATGCAGGAGACCTGGGTTGGATTCCCCACCAACATACCTCATGGGCACCCGTCACCTGTCTATGAAGCTTGCATGTTGCTGTGATACTGAATAGGGTTTCAGCAGAGCTTCCAGACTAAGAGAAAGACCTGGAGATCTACTTCTCTAAATCAGCCAATGAGTTTGAGCAATAATTTTGTTAAAAAGAATGTATACTGATTATATGTTATATACATGCTTGCCATTGACTCATGGTGACCCCTGCACACAGCCGAATGTGACTGTTGGGAGGAGAGTTGTTTGTAACTTTGTAACTTTCTTGTGTGTTGAGTGAAGGTTTACAGAGCAGGTCAGTTTTCTGTTCAAGTCATACACATTTTATTTCACCTCCTTGATTGTAATCCCTACAACATAACATCACTCAACTGCAACTTCTCTGGTTCTATTCCTGATTCTCTTCTGCCTTCTTTCCCAACCCTTCAGAACTTTGTCCTTGGGTCAGTGCTGCCTTTTGGGTCTCAGATGGCTGATTTGTGATCCAGAGTTTTCATTGGCTGAGTTTTCAGAAGTAGATCCTCCAGGCCTTTCTTCCTAGTCTGCCTTCATCTGGAAGCTCTGCGGAAACCTGTTCTGTATCATAGCAACACGCAAGCCTCCATTGATAGGGTGTGCAGGAGGTATGTTAGCTGGGCATCTCAAGTCACTTGCATGGAAGGCAAAAATTCAACCACAGAGCCATTGCTGCCAACTATTAACACATTTTTTAAAAAACAAAACAAAACCGCCAGTTACTGAGTCGACTCTGACTCGTGACAAGTCCATGTGTGTCAGAGTAGAACTGTGCTCTCTAAGGGTTTTTCATGGCTGATGTTTTGCAAGTAGATTGCATTCTGTACTCACATTTATAATTATGACTCTGCAAAATAGACACAGAGTATGTAGCAGTTCCCTACCTGTGATGGTCACTTTTTGTGGGATGCCTGTTACCATCTCTTTTGGGGTGTTAATGTTCTAAGGATCCTGGTTTGAGAGAGGGATTTGTACAACCAAGTAGAAGTAGGATGTACGCCGTGAAAGGCTAATAGGATGGATGTGTTCCTCTGCTTAGAGCAGCTGTCTGAGCTGGCGTCAGTTTGAGGAAGCTGAGTCACGTCTCCAGTGTTTCTGGTTAGTGGGTTGGTTTTGATGACATCTGCCATCTTGTCCTAGTGGGTGTTCTGAGATGGGACAGTAGAGTGCTTGCTGTGGTGTCCCCATGGAGGTGCCATTTCTCCTGTCCTGCAGCAGACCCCTCACTAGTTCCTCTTCTCCCACACAGCCTCCAGCCCGGGCTACATACTATGGCTCCGGTGCCATGGCCCCCCTCCGACCTGCTCCCAGATGGACGACCCAGCAACCTAGACCGTCGTGTGAGTGGCTGGTCCCTTCCACCCTCAGTACATGGGTGTGGGCCCCAAGGGGGATGCATAACATGATGCTTCAGAGAGCAGGTTTGGGGATTTGGACAGGTAATTGCACCCCTCTGAGCTTCTGTAATGTGGTCCTGGAGAAGATGTAAATAAAGCAACAAGTACAGTGCTGGGCCCACAGAAGACACACAGTGTAGACTAGGGTCGGCTCAAGTGTGGCCACAATTGTGAGGTTGGCCCGGGACCTGGCAGTGTTTCATTCTGTTGTGATCAGGGTCACTATGAGTTGGTACTGACTCAGTGGCACCTAACGACATATCCCAAGGTTTGTCTGATTTGTGAGTCTGAGGAAATGTACCACCTTTGGCCCCACTGCCGGCGAATGGCCTTTCTGTGTGGAGGGTGCAGTTCCACCTGACTTGTGGCCATCTTGGAGGACTAGGGTCTATGGTCATGGTGCTGTGCACTTTGGGACTCTGGGCAGACATGGGTTGGCTTCACAATCCCAGCTTTCCACACCCCTATCCCTGGAGCTCCAGGTCTGCCAGACCAGATGAATTGATTCACTCATCCTTCTCCTATGAACTTCCCTGGTTTCCCTCCCCACCCCCTGCCACCCCTGGAGCCTTCAGGGGGCACAATGTCACTTTGACACTCCTGCCCCAACCTTACATCCTGCATATTCTCCCCACTACAAGCTGCTTATCCTCCAACGGCCTCAATGGTTCGGCCGCCAGGCACACCTCGGCGCCCCCTGGCTCACCTCAGCACCGTCAGGCAGGCCTCCACCCAGGTACCACACCCGGTGTCGCACACCCAAAGAATGGGTGAGTGTGGGCAAGGCCAGGAGGGGTGGGGTGTGAGGAGGTTCCTGTGGGGGTTGGTACTAGGGACGGGGAGGTGTGTCACAGTAGGCCCCACAGTGACCTTGTACGTCCCCTTTGGAGGCCATGCAGCGTAAGAAGTAGTCATTAACAGATCATTTCTGTGGCCTTGTTGACAGCTGTGTCTGAATTGCCTCATAATTTCTAACAGATAAAATTCATACCCCACTTTGTTGTGAGTGGTAATGATCATGCACACAAGGGGTTCTCATGGGACCTCAGCCTTAGCTAAATACAAGCAGGCTCCAAAAGGGCATGGGAAAATTCCATGTTTTAATCCCATTTGTTTTTTCCCTTGAACTTTTGGAAGCTCCTTCATCTCGTAGTGGCTGTGAACAAGGGGAGCTTTTGACTGTTAGGCAAAGACACATCCATTCCTTTATTTGGCAACTGTTTGCACACCTACTACGTTGCCAGTCCTCGGCTCGGCGCTGAGGATCATACATAACCAAGCCAGCCCAAGTCCTTGATCATTGGTGGCTGCTAGATCCTGATGTCCCCTTATTTCTCACAGCCAACATTGGTACCCAGACCACAGGACCTAGCGGGACAGAAGGCAGTGCGTCAGGCAGGCCTTACCTGTCGTACAAATATTCCTTAGCAGCCCACTGTGCTCACCAGGTAAGGCTGGCCCAGCTGCCCCTCAGCTTGGGCCCCGGGGGGGACCTGCTTCAGAACTCAGGTCTGGCCCAGCCTGGGCCTTGGTTTTCTTTCTTTTCTTGGCTTGTGATGTTTCTTTTATTAGCGTGCGCAATCAATAAGAAATCACCCAAACTAACAGAAGGGGGAAGAGGCTCAGGTCACATTTTATTTATTAATTATAATTTGCATTGTTGGACTGTTAACCAGAATCAACCTGGATTTCTTTAATATTTGTGTGTTGAGCAGCAAGGTAAAGTATTCTGAGAATCTGCTGAGGGATGTGATTGAATCCACAAAACAAGAGTGCTGAAAATACCAACTACCATTAATTTAACAGGGCTGGAACATTCTGTTAAATAGTCCCCTTACAGCCCCCGCAAAGTCTCAAGGTCAGCATTATCTTACCCTGTCTAGAAACTTCATGTGTAAACTCTAAACGATCTCTCACAATATTAGCAAGAAGTAGTCTCTGCGTGTGTGGTAATGTACACAACCAATTCATTCACAGTTTCTACATCCAGTGCTGTTGGCTACGTCATAATGTTTCTGTTTTCACTGCCTCAGCCCATAGTGTTTCATCAGTATTAACTTAAGACACTTGGTCCCTTAAAATACTTATTTGTGCTTTAGATGAACTGTTATCTGCTTGTACTTCAAGGTAATTCTTTATTGGACAGCAATGCTCAAGGTAAACATGATTTATTATTTGAGCTAAAACTGGGACAGTGTGAGTTCAGGGTTAAAGATTATTTCCAGCATTAGTAGATGCAGGAGGTTTCCCGGTCTGGATGGATCCAGTAAGTCTGGTTGCACAAAATTACCTCAACAGCAAAGCCCTTTAATGGTACCAAGATGTGAAGGGGTCAGAGCATATGGGAATGTGGCTAGAAAGCTACTTGGTATTTGATATGGCACTGTAGGAACAGCACTGGGCTGCTAGCCTTAAGGTTGGCAGTTCAAACCCACTAGTTGCTCCTCAGAATCCCTATTCAGAGGCACTATAAATAGGAACTGACTTGACAGTGCTTAACAACAGCAATTTAGCACAAAGTGACCACAGCAGAGTGTGGCATTCAGAGATGTGTAACTAGTCATAGTATTACCATCAGCTTGTGAGTTAGAGCTTCACTTGTCCTTAGGGCATCTCTACCTCACCTGCTTTTCCAGACCTTGTTCCCTGGTCCCCGCCTCCAGGGAGCCTGCCTGGAAAGCTGGTGTTCACCTGGCAGGGTAAGTGCTCCAAGGCCTTGCCTGTCCTCAGTGGTTGAAGCTGTGTCCCTGACTCCATGTACAGGTCCTGGAGCCCCCTATGCAGAGACAGGAGCCCCTGACCGCATCCATACTGGCTGCAGCCTTGCCCCATGAGCAAAAACAGATGATTGGTAAGTGGCTGGGGCTCCTCTGGAGCACCAAGAGGAGGGCAGGAGGGCTTGGGAGGTGGCCAATCTGGTTAAAACTCCCTGAGTGGAGGCCCACAGGTCCAGCTTTGCTACTAACCACCCTGCTCGGTGACCTCTACTCACAAGTCACCTCTACCCACTAGATCCCTGTTGTTTTGTACCAACAAAATATATAGATGACACGTTTGCCACTTTAATATTTTTCACAAGTACAACTTTGTGACATCAATTTCATTACTTCATGTTGTACAAACATCACGTATATCTGTTGCCAGATTTTCCATCACTATAGACAGAAAACGACTTTCCTTCCTTTCCTTCATTCTCTTATCTTGAAAACACTGGCCAGGCCAGGGGTCCCAAGGGTTCTTCTAGTGCTACTCGTCCTGGACTTACTACTCTGGGAGAGACTCCAGATGTGGAATGACTGGGAGAGTATGGTCTTGGGTTTCTGCCGGAAAATGGCCCACAAGGTGGGTGTTGCCACTTCAGGCACCTCTCCTGAATGGGAGGAAGCTATTGTCAAATTTCATTTGTCTCCTGGTGCCTGTTTAAGGGAGGTGGGAAAGCAGTGTGTGTTGGGTGAATACATGTTTCCACTGGACTCCTGAGCTCCTGGTCCTGGCAGAGGACAGGCCCTGGTTAGGTATGCCACTGAGTGCTGAATGGAGAGCAGGCTGGTTAACGGTTGGCAGATCCTTTTCCTTCTGACCACCAAGCTCTGCAGACCCCTCACTGACGTCCCTATTGCCCCCACTCCCTTGTCTCCTCAGCTGACTCAGGGTTAGCCATTTTTCTGCCCACCCCCATCCTTTTGTGCCACCAAAGAAAAAATCCTAACTAGGTTTAATGGATGGAAGTTGAAGGCTTTAATAGCAACTCTCCTCTGTAAACATCGTCACTTTTCTCATGAGAAAGACCACTCCTACTCCAACTAAGGGAGCGTGGTGGCGCCTCATACTACGACTTCCAAGGTCTATGGTTTGAGCCGGCCAGGCACTCCACAAGGGAAAGATGAGGCTTTCGGTTTCTGTAAAGATTTAAAGCCTACACGACCGTGATGAGTCAGAACTGACTTGACACACTTAATAATTAATAACCACCCCAGATAAGGCGCCCTTGTCCAGACCCTGTCTCAAGAAATCCTTGATGGTGGAAGGTGACTTAGTATCTAGTCCTGCGCAGATTACTATCTTTATATGACCTCTAAGGTGGACTATACCCTGCCCACTTCATGGTGGGAAAGACGTTCCCAGTAAAGTCAGATGACAGACACATCCTCAGAGGAGCAGTACTGGGGCCAGAAGGCAGATATCCTCATGGCTGCACGTCACAATGCCACCCTGGGAGGCCGGGCTCGCCGCTGTCCCTGGGGTGTGCACCAGCCCTGAATTTGTTCTGAACAGGTGAGCGGCTCTACCCTCTTATCAACTGTGTCCACCCTCACTTGGCTACCAAGATCACGGGCATGCTGCTTGAGATTGACAACTCAGAGCTGCTGCTCATGCTGGAGTCTCCGGAGTCCCTCCGTGCCAAGGTAGGCAGAGGCTAGGCAGCAGGGGGAGCTCCGAGCTAGCGGGGAGAGAAAGCACCAAAGAGCTGCTGCTTGGCCAGGTGCACTTTACCTTCTTGCTAGTGCGGAAGGGCCTGCTGTATGAGGGGCTGTATGAGACAGGGCTCTAGTTAAGAATGGCTGCTCCAGCCCCCTCAGCAGTTGGATTTATTCTGTGTTCTGTCTGACTTACATTGTGCTGCCCAGAACTGCCCAGAGGTCTTGAGAAGGTGACAGTAGATTTCTGCAGGTTGGATGAGGGCTCTGCACAAATGCCATGCAGGGAGGGGAATCCTTGTATCTGGCACAGGGGTGGGGTGGTGGGGTGAAAGGAAGACACAAGCCGCCCCCCCCCCCCGACTCTTCCCCGTACCTCACAGGTCGATGAGGCGGTGACAGTGTTGCAGGCACACCAGGCCACGGAGCAGTCAGGTGCTTACCTGCACTGAAGCCAGGTGGGTAGGGTGGGGGTGGGGGTGACAGAAGCTACCAGGCACAGGAAAAGCTCAAAGAACTGGGCCTGGCTTTCCATGAGGCACCAAGAGGGAGCTTGGGGGAAGTGAGTGCCAAATGAGATGGCACTTGGAGTTTGGAATGTTAGTTTGTAGCATGCAGAAGGTGGGAGGTGCCCTCTTGCCAGCCGCCCTCTCTGGCCACTCTCAGAACGAGCCTGGTTCCATTCTGTTTGCTGCAGGGGCCTAGTCTGGGCTAGTCTAATTGAAGACCAGGTGTCTACGTTACTTTAGAAATGCTTATCTTTACTCTTTGCTCCCCAGAAAATGGAGGCCTCATTCCTATGGCTGCCAAGAGAACAGCGAGCGGCTCCTGCTCTTGGCCACCAGACACCATGAGCTGTGACTTTTTCCCAATTGGGCTGTTATCTGAACCAGAACTTTGTATGTGGCTTGAAGGTCACCCCTGCCCCCAGCCAGCTTTGCTTTGTGTATTAAAAGTGTTGCAAAATCTGTCTCACCTCTCAGGAGGCTTGTTGTGGCTGACGGCGGAGGTGTGGGGCAGAGCAAAGGGTACGTACATCTGAGTGGCGTGGATGTGTACACTGAGCGAGCCAGGCTGGAAGCTGCCCACCTTTAACAGTGCAATAGCGGAGTCAATGGGCATCTTCACCCAGCGGGGTTGTCCCCACAGCCCAGCACTGAGGAAATGAGTGAAAGCTATAGTGTGTATGGGCATGGGCAGGAGTCCTGGACCCCTGATTTCAGCACCCTGCCATCGAGCAGTCGTTTCGAATGTCATTAAAGAGGAACCTTCTAGAAATGCTTCAGAAAACCTTCCCAGGTCATGGTTTTCCTCCTCTACAGGGAATGGTGGGGTAGTGTCTCCAATTCTTTGGGTGGCTGAGCACTTACATCAGGGGTATGTCCACCCTCACCTGAGCAGTTAAATGACGGTGAACAGAGAAAAACCACAATCCAGCCAACTGGTTCTGCTCAGAAGGTGCCATCTGCAAATTGGACTAAGCCCTCAGTGTTGGCTCTGATAGCCTGCCCCTGTCACCCTCTCCCGCCCGGGTCCCCACAGATACGCTCTTCAGCTACTGGCCACTAAGCTCCCTGTAGCTTCTGTCCCTGGTGAGAGCGGCTCCCTAAGTCTGAGCACTGACATCTCTTCAGGCTTGCTCCTGGGCTGCCTCGTTCTGTGTTCTCCTAGGTTGCCTTACGAGGCAGTTTCAAAAAGTTTGTAGGAAGATGCCGTAACTTTTACATCCATTTCTCCACAGGCTTTGTGAAGCCCCCACGTGCAGACACATCTTCATTTTGCACCTGCTCCTGGATGACGTGGGTTGTTTTTTTTTCACCCCAAGCTGTTCTGACTTCTAGGCCCTTGTAATTGAACTCCCTGTCCTGTCCGTTGTTATCTCTTGGTTATCTCAACATTCCAGAGTCCTGTCTAAAACCAAACTCAGGATTTAAGCCTCTCCCTGTTACTCCCTCCCCCCACCCCATTTCTCTGTTCTTTTGGTGTCTCTTGCTATCAAGTCGGTTCCAACTTACAGCGACCCAGTATAGGGTTTCAGAGGAGCAGCTGGTGAGCTTGAACCTTGCAGTTCAGCACAGTAGCCCACAGCACCAACCAGGACTCACTAAGTGGCCTCACTACATAGGAAGAGTGGAAGGTCGGGGCTTCTAAGCACCCCACCTCAGCAGGCTCACTGGATCAGGCAACCAAAGGAACACTCGAGGTGCGGTGGGGAGATAGCTCAGTCCTTTATACAGCAAAAGAGCAGCGCAGAAGGGGTCTCAGGTAGTCTCTTGCCCTTCTATTCTAGCCTTCTTCTCTAGGTCTCAGAGCTGTCTCCTCCGGCTTTCTTCCATTCCTTTCTTCTCCCTCTGTACCCCTCACATGGGGGCAACTCCTTTTATACTACTCCAGAACAGAGGGCCTCTTGTCAAACACACTCAGGTTACTTAACAGTGTGACATTCTAATCTGGCAGCGTACATAGCAATGACTTAGCTTCTTAGCTTTCCCTGGTTTCCATCGGAACCACTTGAGTTTCTCTTCCCCCAAACCTCCCTATGTAAAGGAGAGGGTTCCCATCTTCTGACCCAACACCTCACTATCCAATCTGCAGAAGTCAAAACTTGAGTCCCACTCATACTTCACTTTGCTTATCTCACGTCTCCTATAAAACCCCTCACAATTTTACTGCCTACTCTCCAATCTTTCTACTTCTCTCCAAATCTACCTCCAAGTGTGAGTTCAGCTGGACGCCTTTGAATTGCATCTACTGTGGCTCTCCAATCTCTGCCCCAGCACAGACAAAACTCTCACAATGTACCTCTGATGACTTGTCCTTGTGTGAAACCCCAGCAGCTCTCCATTATGAGAAAGGACAAGCCTTAACCTGGCTCACTCAGACCTGCGTGACCTAGCCCAACCCTGCGCTCCCCCTATGATTCCGTGGAACCACTGTCACCTTCCCTTTAAGGGGAATGGAATTCCACTACAGCCAGGACGCCAGTCTCATCAGCATCTAGGGCCTCTTTCCTAGAAATGTCCACCTCTGAGGATGGGGAAATTTCAATACTCAAAACATCTTGCTCACAGCCTCTTTGGAAACAACAGAATGGTAATACATTTCAATGATAGGGGAACCTGGAACATACTCTGGTTTTCCCTGACATTTTAAGTTTAAAAAAAAAAGCCATTTTCAGAGGTGGTGCTGAGTCACGTGTTTCCATTAGTGACTCAAGATGCTTGTCTTCTTGGGCCCAAGAAGCCAGACTAAGTCAGCCATGTCTAGATGTTCCCAATTAACCCTGTCTCAAGTTGGCTAAGAGTCATACCTACATGTTGGACAGGCCTTTCTGCCCATGAGGAGGCAATAAAACAGGGACCACCTCCAATTGTGCCGTGGTTCCTTGAGCATACCCATGGAGTTTGTCCGTGGACTTAAATCCACTGCACCTGGGAAATCTTTGCTCAGACAGCAAAGGGTGGGATGCGATGGGGGGACAAAGGGAAAAGACTTGGTCCACACACCAGTAAAATCTAAAGAATACAGCCTAGGAAGCGGACAGCCCTTAGTTGTGGGCAGATTTCAAATTATTCTCCAGTCACCTGCCAAGGCTTGAGCTGCACGTGCCTCTTTTGGTCCCTCATCCTGCTGACCAGGGCCTGTCCATCCAAGTTCCGTCTGCTCACAACGTGTCTCCCTCATCAAGTGAACTCAGTTCAGGCATCACTTAACCCAGTGATTCCACTGAGTCATATCTCCCACGCAGACAGGTAAAGCATTGTGACAACTCATCCAACATGCTTCTGCCAACTGCTGTGTAACCTTTGTGTGAGTATCTCATGGATTTCCTGCCCCAGCACTGGCTGGACTGTCAGCTCCTTGAGAGCAGGCCCCACTTCTGCCCCCCAGCACTGTCCGCAGTGAATGCTCAAAACCAGTTAGCTTTCATGATTTTCACCATAACGTTCCGACACAGAACTGAGAAGCACAAATGAAAGCAAAAGGAACATTGATGTAGAAGACTTTTAATGCAATAGTTTAAACACTGAGTTCAACAAAATCAGTTCAGTTCAAAATAACATCAACAGATTACAAAAAACCAGAGGGCCTGCTGGGGCAAGGCCCTGCCCAAAGGGTAGGGCAGAGACCTTGAGGAGGGCTGCCTCGCCTTCCCACCTCTAATGGGAGCAGCCACAGCCTCCAAGGCTCTTGAAACAGCTTGGGCACCTCCACATGGGAGGCAGCAGCAGCACAGGCAGGGTCAAAAACCAAACCATCAAGGGTCAGGGTTCAGTACACCCATCAAGGGAGGGCCCAGACAAAAGGCACTGGGGTTCAGAACACGAGAGACTGTCCAAGGCAGGGAGGGAGAGCAGCTGCACACTTGGAGAGAGGGGGCTGCGGCCCTGGAGAACCAGCTCAACAGGCTGCTTGGGACGTGGTGGGCCAGGGCTTTTGAGAGCCTCCTTTGTCACTAACATGCACTCCTGCTCCGATTTGCTGACTTACTCACAGTGAGGCGGGGTCTAGCAAGGCTGCTGGAGGCAGCACTCAGTCAGGAGCATGCTTGAGGGGTTCGGGACCAAGCCCAGGGCTTTGCTCTTAACGACCGGTTTGTGTGACCCACTAGCTGCTGAGGTAGGAGGGAGTGGGCGACAGGGAAGGGACCTCACACTTCAGCCCTGGTGGGGACCTTTCCCATCAAAAACACCACTGAGCTTAAGTGGAATAAGCAAAGCCTCTTGGGGGGAAGGGAGTGTGTAGAGAGGCAGGAGGCCATGGTGCCTGAGGAGAGGAGAGGGCGAGAGCTCGAGAGCTCGCTGTGGGGCATGCTGGGTCTCCGGGCAGGCACAGAGGAAGGAGGCCCCTGGTTGCCTTGGGTAACGTCTTCAGGCAGAGATTTCCTGCTGCCCTTTTGGGGTTTTATTTTAAGCTCTGGTTAACTTCCTGCTGTAACTTCTGAGCAGGGCCGTTCTTGGGTTCAATTTCCAGGAGGCTGCTGATGTCTGCAAGGCTGGATTTATAGTCCTAACAGGAGAGAGAAGGGCGTGGGGAAGGTACTGGGACTGAGCTCATGACATCAAGCTGTGGTGGGGATAGCTGCTGAGACAGCAAGGGGGTCTCAAACCCCAGCCTGTAGGTCTGCCCTGAGCTGCCCTGGGACCCCATGCAGCGAACACGCCTCACCTCGCCTATACTCAGAAGTGCCACCACAGGTGCCCATTCGGCAGCTACACTGGTACCTTTACTTGGGATCCTCTTACCTTAAGTGCCTTGTAAGCTTGCGCCCGTCTGTAAAATGCCTTCACATTCTTTCCGTCCAGCTTGAGGGCATCAGTGCAGTCGTTCACTGCCTCCTTGTACTGCTTCAGGGCCAGATAGCAGAGCGCTCTGATGGGGACAGACCATCTCAGAGGTGCCGGGCACTTCTCAGGGGCCACCCACAAATCACACAGTGGGTGGAGGTGTGAGCTAAGGTTTGCTGAGCACCTACTCAGTGCTACTTGCTTCCTACACTCTGCACACCTCACAACCATTACAGCCCCTTCTTAGAGGTGAAAACCACCAGCTCAGAGGAGGTGTCACAGGACCTGCCCAGGGTCTGCATGACTCCGGATCCCGAGCTCGTTTAGTTCGGTCATTCTACTTTACTCACACAGACATCGGTGTTTCAAGCATAGAAAAGGCTTCCTGAAGCCATCCCTTAAGAGAAGAAAAAATTACCTACCTTAAGAAGCAAATATATATGCAAATACTGAACTCTAGTTGGTGATATACATGTGGGCATGGTCAGGACTAAACATGTCTACAACTTATTTGGAAACCTCGAGCACAAAGACACTTGAAATAAGCTAATGACTCTGCATGGCGTCACAGAGATATGCATAAGAATGAGCATCAAAACAGAATCCAGGATGTGGTCTCAGTTCAGCCACAAAGGATGGAAAATTGCACTTTGTAGAAAGTTATCAGTCCTCTAAATTACATTGATAAATTCAATGCTATGACAACCGAAACATGCCATCTTTTGGAACTTGTCTAAATGACCCTATGGTTTAGCTACAAGAGCAAACATGGGGAAATAGCCCAGGATCTTTGATAAAAGAGAATAAGGAGATGGTCTTAAACCAGCATGGCACAGACAAATGGACATGAACAACAGTATCCAGAAAGGAAAAACTTAGTTTGCCTGGATGTAGTAAAAATCCGAGAAAATGGGTTGATAGAGGCTGCCAGCAGCAGGAGATAAGCAAGGCAAACGAAAGTCCCGAGAGGGAGGTGTCAGAAATGATGTCACACAAAGATGAACAAGCGCACTGCGGGCCTGCTTTTTCAAGTTGGCCCTGGGCCAAACAGCCATTAAAATTCTAGGCCCCAAATTCCTTAATCAAAACTCAAAAGTCCAAAAAGATTTACAAATAAAAAGTTCATTTTTCAACTCATTTAGCAGCAAAGCCTGACCTGACCTGAACGGACATGAGGCTCCCCTCCTCAGTCTTTGTTGCTGTCACCCACCCTTCATGAATGTGAAACCTCCCTGTTTCAAATGTAGATCTACTAGTATTTGGCCCTGTTGCTTATAACATAATTTGATATATGGACCATATTGCCTTTTTAAAATATGAAACGTTCTGAAAGACATTTTATCCTCAGGGTTTTGGATAAGGAATGGTGAACTGTATCAGATCCAGGAATTCCGAACTAGACAGCAGTATGTGTATGTGTGGATGGGAAAGATAAACAGATTTATAACATTTAAAATAAATATTTAATAATAAACATGTGGATACGATGTAGTCTGTGACTGAATGTTTGTCAAGATGCTCTGATGTAAAATTGACAGAAAAGACCTCTCTTAGCTCAAACTGCGATTCTGGCCCCACTGTTGATTGGTTGGCTGGGTAAGCTAAAGCAAAGCTCTTCCCCTCTGAGCCTCCGATTCCTCCACTTTAAAACCACCTACCACCTACACCTCTGAGGGCTATCATAAGGTGGTGACTACCATGTAAGAGCCCTAGTGGGATAGTGGATTAAGCAGAGTGCTGCTAACCAAAGGTCAGCAGTTCGAACCTAACAGCCACTCTGGGGGACAAAGATGAGGCTGTCTGCCCCCATACAGATTTACAGTCTCAGAAACCCAAGGGGGCATTTCTGTTCTGTCCTAGAGGACTGCTAGGAGTCAGAATCAACTCGATGGCACTGGGATTTTATTGGATTACCGCAGTGTCAAAGTGACTGTCCCCTCATTCCCAGGCCTTTATCTCTAAAAAAATCACTGACCACTGACAGCAGCTTCTGGCATGGAGAATGTTACAGTGCTCAGGGCTGACACCTCAGTCAAACTGGTCACCTCTCTCTTGCTCCCAGCCAGCAATGGTTACTACAACCCTGCTTACAGAGGGGAACAGTGCCAGCATTTCTAAGCCATGGGGCGGGAAGTGGGTGGGAATAGGTGAAGAGCCAGTGTATTAAGGTAGTGTTTGCCTAGGTACTTATATTGTGCGCTTATTTAGGGTGGTTAACCAAGGGGAGGCAACAAAACCCCAGGGCTTTGGACTCCCTCAGTGTCCACCCCTTCCTTTAAGAGAGTGTGAACGTCATAGATTTGGACTTGTAACACACTGAATAAATGCTACGAGTGATGGCAAGAGACACCCTATGCCCTGAGTCCCTCAGGCCCGTAGCTATGTAGGACCTTACCTGTTGGTATAGGTGGCAGGTTCCAAGTGACTACAGGAGAGACTTTCACTGTACTTCTCAATAGCTTTCTTATGGTGTCCCTTCTTTACAAACTCATTGCCTTCTTCCTTCAGAACCTTGGCTCTCTCCACATCCCCAGCAGAAGGCCCTAGATGGTAATTCACAGAGAGGAAAACCAGGGAGCAGGGACCAAGTGAGATCAATGAGTTCTCCCCAGCATCACCTCCTCCGAGTCACCACTGACCTTATCTTCTCTGGAGGGTTTGCTGTGCTATAAAACAGCTTCCTAATTGATGATTTCTACCCCAATGAATGGCTTCTGGGGAAAGAATGACTTTCTCATCCAGAGAGGTTGGGAAACTGCATATAAACGTACTTAGACCTGCACAGAGGGACTCGCAGAAGAGCAACTCAGGATCCAGCTTTGGTGCCAACGCTTTGAAGCTGGACGATCCTGTGTGAATTCAAGTTCCTCACCAACAAACACAATGGAGACACCATCTATTCCACACCGGGCATCTTCAGGATCAAATCTCAAAACAGATGAGAAAGTATCAACCACTCCCAGTTTAAAGCAGGTAAGTGAGTAAGTGCTGACACCAGTATCAGGTAAAGAAAGGAGACGGCTCACGTCTGGCTTCTAGCAAAGAGCTGGGGAGCCCTCGATTTCTCCACTCTGGTCTGGGCTGCGCCTGCGAGTGTCCTTCCCCTGCTACCATGCTACCAGGCAGCTCTGTCAGCCTTCATGGACCCCAAGGTGCCCAGCCTGGTGCCCAAGCTCTTCACTGTTCAGCTCCAATGAGCCACTCTAGCCTCTGTTCGACATCACCCACTCTTTGCATTTTTAAAAAAAACCACCTGTATAAACATCTGCATTACTATGACGGGGTGAAGTGTTAGGGATACAACTCACACCCTTGAACTGATCCCCAGCTTAAGAACTAGACAGTTCTAAGACATATGAAGCCCTAGGCCCACCCAACTCAATCCACCCTGAAGGAACCCCTTACCCTAAAGCCTGTGCTTCCTTCTCTCGCTTTTGTGTGCAGTTGACGTACATACGATAAGACTCTACACCACTTGTTTAATAGCTTTGCTTCGTAGTTGTTAGCTGCTGTCAAGTTGGACCCCAATTCATGGGGAGCCTGTGCACACAGAAGGAAATGCTGCCCAGCCCTGTACCATGTCCAAGCCTGCTGGCCTATCAGGTCATTGTGAGCCACAGGAAGTTGTCACTGGCTACTTTCTGGAAGATTTCTAGGCCTCTCTTCCTAGTCCATCTGAATCCGGAATCTCCATTAAAACCTGGTGGCTCTATCATAGTGACATGCAAGCCTCTGCTGGCAGAGGGTAGCTGTGCATGAGGCATGCCAGCCGGGAATTAGACCTGGCCCTCCTACGTGGAAGGTGAGAAGTCTACCACTCAAAACCAGAGTGAATGCTGCCCATGGCCAGATAGAAAGGGAGGAACTTCTGTCCTCCCCTAACAGCCACAGGTCACTGCAGAACTCCAGCCCTGCTCCCTTGGTGCCCCCCCCACACACACACCCTGTCCTCAAAGCCAAGAGCAAGCTGGGCTAAGCACTGCCTGGATCGGAATCAGTGTGTCCAGACGAGCCCTGGCCTAGAGAGCAGCTGGCTTCGTTCTTCCCATCTTACGAGCTGGGCTGGACAGGCTCCCAGGTTTTGGCTCCCAGCTTTGATGTCCCTTCTTTCATTCATCCTCTTCCAGGAATTCACCCTTCCTCAGACAGTTTCCGGGCAAGCATTGCCCTCCGGCTATAGGGTTTAGGGCTGAACTAATCCCCAAATCTCTTCCCCCAGGCACAGTGACTAGTCCAGGAAATGACTGTGACCAAATGGAGGCCAGAAGAAATGGAGGCACTCTGTAAACTAGGGGCCTTGGGGGAGAAATCATCTCTTTGCCTAGTTAGTACCAGAAAGACTTGCTCCTTTTCCATGCCATGAAGGAGCCCTAGTGGAGCTGCAGGATATGCAATGCACTATGGCAGGGGAGAAAGATGAGGCCTGGTCCCCTACAGAAACCCGATACAGCGTCACTATGAGTTGAAGTCAGCTCTAGGGCAGTGAGTTTGGTTTGGCTCTTCCATGCCATGAGGTGTGGTGCACAGATGTGAGGGCAGGAACCACAGCAGCTATTTACCACCAGGAGAGATAAGAGGAAGTGCTGAGAATGGAACGGAGACTGAAGATGGAGTGAAATGCTAGATCAAGCCTTGTGTGAACAGGAATCTTTTCAGTTCCTAGTTCTCTGTTCTTGACAACAGAGACTTCTCAATTGCTACATCCTAGCGGCTGCCAGAGGAAAGAGAGGGAGCTAACAGTGGATGCCCCTGTGCCAGGCTGGGAGCTTCACACGCCTTATAGCATTTCACCCTGATAGCTGTCAGGTAGGTTTGATAATCACCCTCACCATACAGCTGGAACAGGTTAAGATTTGTTGTTGTTGTTGGTTTACCTTGCTTATGAGCGATGAAACCAGGCCAATTTTTACAGGCCTGCTGCACATGACCTCTTTAAAGTGTTCAAGAACAAAGATGTCAATTTGAGAACTAAGGTGTGCCTGACCCAAGCCATGGTATTGTCATGTGCATGTGAAAGTTGGACAGTGAATAAGAAAGACCATAAAATAACTGATGTATTTGAGTCATGGTGTTGGGAAAGAATATTGAAAGTACCATGGACTGCCAGAACAAACAAATCTGTGTTGGAAGAAGTACAGCTAGAATAATCCTTAGAAGTCAGGATGTCAAGACTTCGTCTCTCATACTTCGGACATATTATCAGAAGCGATCAGTCCCTGGAGGAAGACCTCATGCTTGGTAAAGTGGAGGGTCAATGAAAAAGAGGAAGACCCCAACAAGACGGACTGGCCCAGTGGCGGCAGCAATGGGCTCCATGTAACAAGGATGGTGCAGGACCGGGCAGTGTTTCGCGCTATTGTGCACAGGGTTGCTATGAGTCCAAACCAACTTGACGGCACATAACAACAACAACTCTAAAGAAAGTGGTCACGGGGAGATTGTAAGACTCGGGAGCAGAGAGTCAGGGCTTACCTTGGTTCTTTGCTGTTGTGGTCTCTTTGGATTTGCTTTTAGCGGAATCTTTGTGGTTCTCCCGCGGCATGGAATCCCATCTCTTCTGAGCTGAAACAGGCACCAATGGGGTGGGAGGCAGCTTCTGACGCCAGTCGGGCCCAAGTGAGTCCATGAGCACTCTGGTCATTCTGGGGAGGAAGCCAAGACTACAGGGAAGTTTCCAGCTAGGTTAAGAAGATACTCCTTCCCCCAGATACCCGAGGGGCTAGTGGGGATGCTCTTTCAGAAGACCCGCGGTCTTTCTCCTCCTCCTGGTTTGAACCAGTTTCTATTCTTCCTTCTTGCTGCAGGAAAGGAACAGAAACTCACCACCCATCAGTGCCTTCTCAGGTCAGCCAGCAGGGCACTTTCCCTGCCTGTCCCTTGATCTTGGTCACACTACGTTAACTTCAAACTGGTCATCTGTTGCTTTCTTACGGGAACTTCAACTTTGCCTCCCACCCAAAAGACCACACATTCCCCAAGAAAAAAAGACTGCACAGTCTAATTATTTTGTATTTTTTCAATGGATCTAGTAGTACAAGGCCATGCAAGGCTTGTGCTAGACTAGACCCAGTTGACATGAGAAATTCTCGAGATACTTGAAAAATGCCTGTTATATGCCTGTTATATCAAGTCATCCTTACCTTGCACCACAGGTTCTCCTGGACCTTATATCCAAGCCTTCACACATGCTTTCCCCTCTACCATGTCCCACTGCCCACGCTCACCTTCCAGGCCTAGCTAAATCCTACTCCTTCCTTAGACGTTGGCTTAATGCTGCTTAGTGGCATGTCCATGTTGTTAACTGATCTCTAGCACCAGCTCACCAGCATCCGCCCCCCACGCCCGGGCCCTACAAATACATGTGGAATGAGTGAATAAAGCCAACTCTACACTTTTCCTGCCCCTACAATTAAACTCCTATATGTTACTACAATGAAAACTATAGAGGTTGGCTTCAACATAAATTCATGGTCTCCAACTAGGCCCCCAAAGTTTTTTTCCTGGTTGTCACAGCTATCTGAAACCTCAATTCTCCTCAAATCTGTTCCTTAAACCATCTCCCCTTTTCCCAGAAAACTTTCTCATACCCTATGTATACACCCACTGGCCTGGCCTCCCACCCCTTCCTTCTGTCACAGAGGAACAGATGGCTAAGGCCAATGCCTCCACTTGAGTTCAGGCTCCATCTCCATCCTGTGTCTCGGGTCCTCACGCAGCCAGCCTCTCCTGGATCTTCATCCTTTCATCAACTCAAACCATCAGCATTTAGATGACTTGAACTCTTTCTTCACCTGATATACCCTTCCCTAGCCAACCCTCTGCCTCCCCAGCGAAACTCCCCTGCCTCCCTGCCCAGCCAGACTTCTTGAATCCATTGCCATCTGGCTGCTGACCTCACTGAATGGAATCACCAGTGACTTCACTGCTAATCGCACGAGTCCAGACCCTAATGACCGCTCACTCTCCTGAAAACACTCCCTGCCCTGTAACACCTCATCCTCCACGTGTCCTCCCGCCTCTCTGCTCCTTCTTTGTGAGCTCTTCTTCCTGTCAGTCTCCCACACCTTAGGAGATGTTTAGCATTCCTCCTCTTCCCGTTACACTCTTGCTGTGGGGATTTTCCCCTACCAGTCTCAAGCCACTGCTACACTGACGACTCGCAAATCTGAAATGTCTGGCCTGCGGAGTTTTTTCCTTTGCTCCAAACCCTTGTAAACTCCTCCTGCCTTCCTCGTATCTCTACCCTCAGGTCTCTGTCACCTCCAATGCAGCGTTTCTACAATCTGGATGCTGTTGTGGTTAAGTGTCTTTGAGTTGGTTCCAAGTCATAGCAACCCTGGTCTCCAAGGAGCAGCTGATAGGTTTGAACTACCAACTTTGTGGTTAGCAATCCCGTGCTTACCCGACAGTGCCACACCAGGACTCCACAACTTGAATAGCTTCTTCTATTCCTCCCTTCTCAGCATCCCCTAGTCATTAAAGCTTGTTAACATACTTCCTTAAGGTCCCTTGAACTGGTCCCCCTCTTTTTCTCATCTTTTCCACCCTGTCTCCTGGATTACTGCACCCCGGCCCCTGCAAATTCCTGTTCTGGCTCTCTTCATGCCATCCCTCAATATGGCAGCCAATGAGCTTTTCTCAAAAATACAAACCTGCTCCTGGTACTCGACTGCTAATGACTCTTGCCCTGATGCTTACTTGATAAAGTCCAAGTCTCTGAATGGCAGGCCCTCTATGATCTGCCCTCATCGATCCATCCTTGGCTGAGCTCTCCATCTGCGGCACCATGGGAAAGGTTCTGACGCACACCACACTCACTCACCTCTGCCTAGGCTGCCGTTTATCCTTGCCAGCTCAACACCCTGGATCTCTAGTCATTGTTCCGTCTCTTCTGACCTTTCCCTTCCCTCCCAAGCTGGCTAGGCAGCCCCTCTCTGCCCCAGCACCAGGCACTGGGCACCGTGTCTGTCGTGTGCTGCTCGTCTCCATCAGGCATGAGCTCTAGGAGGGCGGGAAGAGCTGCAGTTCATTCATCAGTCCAGGCCCGTGGGCCAAGTCTCACACAGAACTGGCACTCACAGTTTGTTAAATGCACTAAGTTAAAAGGAAGCAAAGGACGTTGGCCAACAAGTCAGCTTGTCAGAAATGAAGTCCTGAACATGTGCTGCAGAGTCCTGGTAAGAGTTTACTATTAGTCTGGAGCTTGGCTTTCTAGCAGTTGAGGCAAAGAGGGGGACTGCTAGTTCCCAAACAAGGACCTCCACAAGACAAAACCCAACAAGGGCTCAGAAGGTGCACAACTCACATGTTTCTAAGTCCAGGAAGACATTTCTCAGGAAGCCTCCTCCAACACGTCCCTACAGGCCTGTATCATAGATGCTTGGCTACTCTCCCCTCCCCCACAGCCCCTGTGGACAGCTCTGTGAAGACAAATGGGACCTGTATGTTCTGAGTTCAGTATCGCCACTAAGGAGTCCTGGGGTGGCACTGCAGGCTCAGCTCTGGACTGCTAACCATAAGGCTGCCAATTCAAACCCATCAGTCGCTCCTCGGAAGCTCCACACAAGATTGTTAGGAGTTGGAACCTACTCAACGGCACCTAACAACAACTAAGCTTGGCACACAGTATTTTAAACATACCCCAATAAATATTACCATGTAAATAGATTTTAGCATCTAAGCAAATATATATGTATGATATATATATTTGAAAATACACATGAGGGGCCTTCAAGAAGTTTGTGGAAAAATAGAATTAAAAGATAATGGGATTGACTGCCTTAATACACCAGTCTGTAAGGAACAGTCGTGCTCTTGTCTCTCTTGACTTTGAGTTCCCCCTCCCA